CTATTAGTTTGCTACACTGAACTCGATCGCATCAGCGTCTCTCTTCGACCACTGCTCTCGAGCAGATTTGGTCCTCTTGTCCGCACGCCATCTCAAGCCCATCCATCATTATCTATTCGTTGTTGATTGACCACCGCGTCTATGGGCCGTCGTTGCCCCCGTAAAATTGAAGAGGAGAATGCTCGCAGACAAGCCGCCAGAGATCGTGTCATTGGGCCTCTTTCGATGTGTCAAATTCTGGCCTTTGGATTCAGAATGGCGGAGTTCGCCATTGGCATCAGGCTACACACTCCGTTCTCGCTGTCACCCAGACTAGACACCTCCCTGGACGAGCGGGGGGTCAACATTACTTGAAGCTCGAAGAAGTTCAAAGCCCTGCGGTATGTTACTAGAACGCAATCCTACTCTTTGCTGACCGCAATTTCTGTAGCGAGTCAATGTTATGGACGCCACATGAACGGTAGGCCGCATCCTCTGGCATCAGATCTCCGCAACTGCTCAGTGCAATTTTACGATGCTCTCCAGGTGTCGCGCGAAGAACCTCCATGCAGCATCTCATGTCAAGGCCGTAGCCCTTTCCACGCCGTTTGACAATCCCTCTTTTCAGACCTTGAACGCGCTCACAGCATTTCTCAGCCAACTTTTCGATGCATCGTGGCTACCTTGCCATTTTATTTGACCCTACCCATCTACGAAGCCGAGACCACAGCTCACGAGAAGTGAAAACCAAGACCAGTCCGACATGCAACACTCCACCTATGGACGTCTGCTATTTAGGCTGTCTCACTCGCCGATGCTTTACGAAGGTGCGTATCTTACGCCAAGCCCTCGCCGCGCGATTCGACGTGGTCTTCAGAAATACTACAGTCTCGGATTCATGAAGGATTTTGGGGCGACATCCGACCACGCGAAGCGTCTGCAAACCGACGAGTTTGTTGATCATTTTGCCCGGATCAGAGACGTGTCTCCTGCGTTCAAGAAAGGAATTCGTGGCTGTCACTCTTTGGAACGAACGAACCTACCCGTCTGCTGCGCAATGCTCATGACGTGCTCAATCGCAAACGAGCCTTTACAGATCTCTGGTAACGCGTCGTTGGAAGTCGCGTACAAACCCTCAGCTGCTCGAAACCTTGTAACACTCTGTTATGTGTGAAGTTAACCTCATTTTCACCATCACCAGCTTTATTACATGCTAGCGCTGTGATATGTGTTACAATCTGCTGATATCTTTCGAGTGATCAATGACACCGTTCGCTGGCATTGTCCCTACGATGGCACAGGATGCAGTCTCTCTTCAAAGCGGCCGGACATCACGGACATAATAACCTTTGAACACTGTTGCTTGCGTCGTCTCATCTACATAGTAAGTAAACGGTCGACGAACATCGTCGATGCCTGTCATTGACAGCACAATTGGCGCCGTCTGCCGGCCGATATTGCCGGTCGGACAGCGAATTCAAGGCAGGCGCCGACTCGACTGCTGAACCCGTCAAATTGGTCGACGTCTCCTGTTAGTCCGACCTGCGATGACGGGGCTCGTGTATTCAGTTTGCTGGTATCCTCCAACCCATGACTCTCTTTCTCCAGCGCGGTGGCCCTCAGAAGCTCATCCCATCATCTTCTTTGAGCATCGGGAGTGCTCGAGAGCAGTCTATTCGCCTAAACAAGGATCAAGCTATAAAGTTAGCGATCTGCAGGGAATTCATCATCACGATCAATAGGTTTCCTCGTGGACACCGACGTTCAGCGCGAGCCCGCTCAATTTCCCCATAGGTATGCTTGTGTCTTGGAGTGTTTGTATTAGCACCTACTTATCTGCGGTAGCTGACCCAAAGCTTCAAAATGGCACGCTCACCGCAGGGCCCGGGCGCACGCTATGTCCATCAAACACCGCACATCCGCCAGAAGCGCATGGCGATCTCGCCTACCATGTGATGCTGCCCGTACCGGCCTGTCAACTCTGTCAGCGCTTCTATGGCCAAGACCTCGATCGACTCGCCGGTGCCATAGGCTTCTTCTCGCACATCACAGATAACCGGTGTCCGCGGGGATGCGTCGTATAAAGTCAGCCTGAGAGCACCCGGGCTCGCAGCGTACGCGACGAACCCGCCAAGATGCTGCACCTCCTGGCCCGCGCCCCCGCCCTCCTCGTGCTCGTCGCCGCCGCGCTCGCATCGCCGAGCAAGATCAAAGAGCGCACCCTCTACCCGCGCGGGTGGGACATCGTCGCGCGCGCGCCCGCGGACCACGCCGTCACGCTGCGCATCGCGCTCCCACAGCCGAGCTTCGACGTGCTCGAGCAGCACCTGTACGAAGTGAGCGACCCCGCGCACGCGCGCTACGGCGCGCATCTGTCCCTCGAAGAGGTCGCGTCGCTCTCCAAGCCGCATGGAGAGAGCGTCCAAGCTGTCGACGCGTGGCTTGCGAGCCACGGCGTGCCCGAGAGCGCGTGCTCGCGCTCGCCGTCTGGCGACTGGGTCAGGATTAACGTCACGGTCGCGAAGGCGGAGGAGATGCTCGATGCTGTACGTTCTACCATTCTAATATTGTGCTTTGCAGACTAACGTCGATTGCAGAAATACTACATCTGGAAACACATCGTCGACGGAGACACGCTCGTGCGCACGCTGAGCTACAGCCTCCCCGAGGACCTGCACGCGCACATCGACTTCATCCAGCCCACGACCATGTTCGCGCGCTTGAAGGGGCACCGCACGACCTTCCGCTGGCACAGCGTGCAGGAGTCTGCGTCTGCGCCGGCGCCCAGCAACGGGACCATCCTCGCAGACGCTGCGTCGGGCATCCGTGTCGACGCAAGCTGCAACAAGACCATCACGGTCGACTGCCTGAAGCAGCTGTATAACACTGTTGGGTACAAGCCCTCGGAAACTAGGGAAAACGCGATCGGTATCACCGGGTATCTCGAGCAGAATGCTAATATTGCAGACCTGCAGCAGTTCTACAGGGACCAGGTGCCCGCGGCGGTCAATTCTTCGTTCAAGGTCGTCTTGCTTCATGGTACGTCGCGCCCTGTGACCCTCATACTCCTCAGCGAATGTCTGATTCGCTTAACCCCCGTCTTCAGGTGGCGAGAACAATCAGTCGCTGGCTGCGGCAGGCATCGAAGCCAATCTCGACACGCAATTTGCTTATGGCCTGACCTTCCCGACGCCTGGCACGTTCTGGTCGACCGGCGGCTCCCCGCCGTTCAAGGCTGATCCCGTTACGACTACTAACACCAACGAACCCTATGCTGACGTACGTCGCCCGTTACCGCGCTACCCATCGCGCCTCTGTCACTCTCCGCAGATCGCCCGAGCGCTAATGTGTTGTTTCGGCAGTGGCTCGATTTTATCTTGAGCCAAAAAGCAATCCCGCAGACAATCACGACGAGCTACGGTGACGACGAGCAGACGGGTAAGGCGTCCTTCACGCAAACCAATTTTGACTACATGAGCCTGACTGCTTCGCCGTCAGTCCCCGAGAGCTACGCTAAGCGCGTCTGCGCCGACTTTGCTAAACTCGGTAAGCCGATCCTCCATGGAGCTCGCCGGAGACGGGTCTTCTGATTCTTGGCCGTCTCGAACAGGTGCGCGCGGCGTCACCCTGACGTTCAGCTCCGGCGACAACGGCGTCGGTGACGGCAACCCCAACCCGAAGAACCAGACGTGCTTCACGAACGACGGCCGGAACGCCACGGCCTTCATCCCGCTCTTCCCTGCCAGCTGCCCCTAGTACGTCGCGGGTTCCTCCTTGTCTTGTTCGTGTGGCGATCTTTATGACGTCGTTCAGCGTGACGTCCGTCGGTGGGACGATCCACGTCCCGGAGGTTGCCGTGTTCTTCTCTGGAGGAGGGTTCAGCAACTACGTGCGTCCTTCTCATCCACCCATCAGTAATCGCCTCGACTAATAGTGGCGTCGCGTTAGTTCCCTCGCCCGCTTTACCAGGAGGCAGCCGTCCGGCGCTACCTCGACGCCCTTCCGGAAGGAACCTACAAGGGCCTCTTCAACCCGTACGTTTCTCCTCGCCCTCTCCCGTTATCGTGTCCTAATTTCATGTACGCACATCGTATAGTAATGGCCGCGTACGTTCCTCTACGCCTTGAAATGTTTTTGACCAATGCTCATACATTGACCTGTGATACAGGCCATCCCTGACGTCGCCGCGCAGGCAGACAACTTCCGCGTTTTCGTAGGGGGCCGCGCGGGCCTCGTCGGTGGCACCTCCGCCGCATCGCCCACCTTCGCCGCCATCGTCTCCCTGCTTAACGACGCGCGCATCTCGCGCCACCTCCCGCCGCTCGGGTTCCTCAACCCGCTCCTGTACACGGTGGGCCTCGCGGGTCTGAAGGATATCACCGCCGGGAACAACCCCGGCTGTGGGACGCCTGGGTTTAATGTGAGTCGTGCTTAGTTTTGTGGTGCATTTGGCGATGCTGATGGGGTGTGCGTATAGGCGACGAAGGGGTGGGACCCGGTGACGGGCCTTGGGACGCCGAACTTTGGCAAGTTGAAGGAGATTGTGTCGTAGGTGCCTCTCGTCTCCAAAATGCGCGCTATTGCGAGGTGTTTAGAGTAAGTATCCATTGGGGAGACGTCGTGTCCATCCACAAGTGGACATGGGTCTCTGGTGATTTATGTTTATGTACCAGTGGTCAAAATGGCGAGTGCTATTGTGCACATGCCGCTCTTTGCTCATCTGCTGTGTGTGAGCGTTCGAGTGAGTGTCGCCGATCTTGCCAGCCAGCTTCTCGATCGGAAACCTGTACAGTATACTACCCTCCCTGTGTACCGCGTGCTCTTGCCGGCGTCGCCGCCTTGTTTCGCTTGGCGGCCTGTGGTACGTTCACCCTCGACCCTGAGCATTCTGCAAAATTCACGGCCGTGGTGGGGCATGTATCCCAAAATACGACTTCGATCGAGCCACTAGGGAGCGCACCGTGAACAATCGTACTTTGGATGCAGAATACTTATTGTTGAACGCTGAGGGATGAAAAAAATGACAACAGGGGGATTCGAACCCCCGCTCTCGTTCGAGAATGAGAAACCCGCATTCGCAGGCAAGCAGCAGCCGAAGCTTCAGCTTGAGTCACACGCCATAGACCGCTCGGCCATGTTGCCATGTCCTTTCTTATGAACTGTGCGTTTCTCCATGTCTTGTTCGGTAAGAGGACATTCTGACTATGGCAACTCGCCGAATGGGCGGACCGTATCCTTGCTACAGCCATGTCGCGTCACTACCACTTTGACCCATGGGGTCTACAGTGTACCGTTCGTGCTCGGAAGCTCGTGAGGCCGACATAACTTCCATTTGCAGGTTGCCGTAACTACAGCGCGCTCATACTCCAAAAACTCCCCACCAACTACAGGTTTTAATCATCTCGATATCTATCGAAGACTCTCCGGCCCAATCTGTCAATGGCTCTCCCTCACCATGTATATCGACGAAGTCAACAGATGATTTCACGTCCGTGCCAACCGTCGAACGCTGCTGATCTTGATCTGTTAGCTTGCGAACACGACCCCCGAGGTGAGATGGACGAGCGCTGATTGATCTTCTTCGCGTCCGTCACGTAGCACAGAACAGCCTCAGGGTTGCCCATGATCATACGCTCTTCGTCACCTCCACCGCGTATATATAGCCGTCAGCCCATCCTTGCATCGGAATCCCAAGGTCCCAGATGCTGCCCCGCCTCATCCCCACCGCACTCCTTGCGCTCTCCGCGCTGGCCGCCGCGGCGCCGAACTCGACGCCGAAGCTCAAGGAGCGCATCACCGCCCCGCGGAACTGGGAACCCGTGAAGCGCGCGCCGCCCGCGCACGTCCTCACGCTGCGCATCGCGCTCCCGCAGCCGAACTTCAGCGTCCTCGAGCAGCACCTGTGGGAAGTGAGCGATCCTGACCATGCGCGCTACGGCGAGCACCTGTCCAAGGCGGAGGTGGAGGCGCTGCTCGCGCCGCATGAGGACAGCGTAAGCGCTGTGGAGTCATGGCTTGCTGAGCATGGTGTGCCGGCGGGCGCGCGGACGCACTCGCCCGCGGGCGACTGGGTGAAGATCAGCGTGCCCGTGGCGCTCGCGGAGAAGATGTTGAATACCGTGCGTCTGTTTTCTGTTTTCTGGTCCGTGTATCTGGGGTGCTGATAGCAACACGGGCACAGGAATACCATGTGTGGAAGCACACGGCAGATGGAACCACCGTCCTGCGCACGACGCACTACAGCCTGCCCGAGGCGCTGCACCCGCACGTCGAGCTCATCCAGCCGACGACGATCTTCGCGCGCACGAACTCGCACCGCACGACCTTCCACTCGTCGACGCCCGCGCCCGACTCCGCGCCCGCCCCCGGCAGCGCGGCTATCTTTGATACACAATCTGGCATCCGGGTCGACGCGAGCTGCAATACGACCATCACGGTCGACTGCTTGAAGCAGATCTACAACTTCGCAGACTACAAGCCGCAGGTGCCGGACAAGAACTCGTTCGGGATCACGGCGTACATCGGACAATTCGCGAACGAGGTCGATCTGAACGACTTCTACGCGGACCAGGTCCCGCAGGCGGTCAACTCGACGTTCCAGACGATCCTTGTCAACGGTATGTGCCTCTACTTCTCACAGAACGCGTCTGCTTGCTGAAGCAGTCCGGGCAGGCGGACAGAACAACCAGAGCGCTGCTGCCGCCGGCCCGGAGGCGAACCTCGACACTCAGTTCGGATACGGCCTGACGTTCCCCACCCCCGGCGTGTTCTGGTCTACTGGCGGTGAGCCGCCTTTCGACCCGGACACCTTCGAGCCGACGAACACCAACGAGCCCTACGCCGACGTACGTCTCCTCACTCACCTAACACAAGGTACCCACTAAAAACCCACGGCGCGCGGCGCAGTGGGCCGACTTCGTGCTCGCGCAGCACGATCTTCCACAGACGATCTCGACGAGCTACGGCGACGACGAGCAGACGGTGCCCGAGTCGTACGCGAAGCGCGTCTGCGCGTCCTTCGCGGCGCTCGGCGCGCGCGGCGTCACGCTCACGTTCAGCTCGGGCGACTTTGGCGTCGGCGACGGCAACCCGAACCCCGCGAACCAGAGCTGCTTTGCGCTCGAGAACGGGAAGAACGTGACCAAGTTCTTGCCGGCGTTCCCGGCTAGCTGCCCGTAGTATGTGTCTCGAGTTGGTTGTGGTCCGAGGAAGTTACTTATGTGCTTGTAGTGTGACTGCCGTGGGCGGTACCATTGGCATCCCGGAGGTCGCAGTGAACTTTTCAGGTGGTGGCTTCAGTAACTACGTGAGTCTTTCTCCCTTCGCCTCGACTCCTTGTTCGTGGTGGTGACCGTACGCCGCAGTTCTCCCGCCCCTCGTACCAAGACGCCGCTGTCGAGTCTTTCCTCGCAAAACTCCCCAAGGACACCTACTCAGGCCTATTCAACCCGTACGTGCCCAAACCTCATCCCATCCACCCTCCCTACTGACTGCCCGCCACAGCCACGGCCGCGCCTACCCCGACATCTCCGCGCAGGCGGACCACTTCCGCATCTTCTTCCAGGGCAAGTCGCACCCGATCGGCGGCACGTCCGCGTCGGGCCCGACGGTCGCAGCGCTCGTGTCGCTGCTCAACGACGCGCGCATCGCCGCGCACCTCCCGCCGCTCGGCTTCCTCAACCCGCTGCTCTACGCGCGCGGCGTCGCGGGCCTGCGGGACGTCACGTCGGGCAATAACCCCGGGTGCGGCACGCCTGGGTTCAATGTGAGTGCTTTGTGTGGATTGTGTGTGGTGGTGCTGGTGCTGATGCTGATGCTCGTGTGCGTAGGCGACGGAGGGCTGGGATCCGGTGACGGGGCTCGGGACGCCGGACTTTGGGAAGCTGAAGAATATCGTGCTTGGGCATTGATTATGGTGGACTTTTGCTCTCACGTTCTTTGAGCTTTGGACTGGTCGAGTCTTACACACTTCGTTCTCGATTTTGCTGTCGTTTTTGTTAGCAGGCATATTTATTGGTACAATGTCCAATACGTTAATCGGTGGTCCGAGTATTCAAGCTCGTCAGGTTCAAGCGCGACGTAGTGCCCGCGTTTTTGTGACGAATTGGGGCTATGTACAGGTCGTCTGTTGTGAAAAAAAGCCGTCGCCTCCAGAAGACGGACACGTCCGGACTTGGGAGCGAATGTCAAGAGTCGCAAGCGGGGGCACTGATTCGAGTATTAGATCTAGTGTGTTCAATATTAATGCTGTCACAGAAAACTTTTGATGACTACGGCCTGGACACATCCGGAATTGAACCGGACACCTCTCGCAGCTGGCAAAGCATGCTAAGCGAGCGTGATAACCAACTACACCATGTGCCCTTGTTTCTGTGTGAAAATTTGAATCCTCCGACCTGAGCAAGACTGAAATGGGTCAAATATTATTGCTGTTTTCAGAAAAGTTGGCGGCGCGTCGAAATCGACGCGCGTCAGCAATCTTCCCGCGTGTATCTTCCAAGCCTCATAGCACCACAA